GGAACAAGAAAAAGAACAAACTAAACCCAAAGCTAGCAGAAGGAAGAAAATAATAAAGATTAGAGATGTTTAAAAATAGAGTCTAGAAAAACAATAGAGAGAAAAATTAAACCAGGAGTTGATTCTCTGAAAAGATCACCAAATTGACAAACCTTTGTTAGGTTGCCTAAGAAGATGATAAATAAGACTAAAATAACTAAAATCAGAAATAAAAGAGGGTACATTACAACTAATCTTACAGAAATAAATAGGATCATAAGATAACACTATGAACAATTGGACCCCAACTAAGTGGATAACTTAGATGAAATAGATGAATCTCTAGATGCACACAAATTACCTAAAATGACTTGAGAAGAAACAGAAAATCTGAACATACCTATAACTAATAAGGTGATTGAGAAAAAAAGAAATCCCAAGACCAGGTGACTTCACTAGTGAATTCTACCAAACATTTAAAGAAGAATCAACAAGGGTAAGGGTGATAAAGTGGGGTTGGTTAATGCATGCAAAAATATAGTTAGATAGAATGAACAATCATCAGTAGCACAACAAAGTAACTATAGTCAACAATTAGGGTATACTTTAAAATAACTAAAAAAGTAGAATTACAATGTTCCCAACACAAAGAAATGTTAAATACCTGAGGTGATCAATACCCCAATTACCTTGATTGGATTAATTCACATTGTATGCCTATATCAAAACATCACGTGTACCCTATAAAGATATACAACTATTATGTGCCATAATAATTTTTAAAATAAATAAAGATTAATCAAGAACAATCTTCTTCAAACTCTTCTAAAAAATTTAAGAGGGTAAAACACTTCTAAACTCATTTTATGAGGCCAGCATTACTCTGATACCATAGCCAGACAAAGGTACTACATGAAAAAATTTAAAAAAAAACAACTATAGACCAATATACCTTGTGAATGGTGATGCAAAAATGCTCAATATCCCTGATGAATATTGAAGCAAATGGAATTCAATAGCACATTAAAAAGATTATGCATACCCAGTGTGGTTTAGTCGTAGAATGCAAAGATGTTTCAACATGTGAAAATCAATCAGCATAATATACTAAGTTAACAGAATTAACAGAGTAATGGGGAAAACCCACACAATCATCTTAATTGATACAGAAAAAGCATTTTGCAAAATCCAACACCATTTCGTGATAAAAACACTCAAAGAACTAGGAATAGAAGGAAACTGTCTCAACATAAAAAAGGCCATATGTGAAAATCCCATGCCATACTCACCAATGAAAAGCTAAAAGCTTTTATTCTAAGATCAGGAAAAAGACAGGGATACCCACTGTTGCCACTTCTATTCAACACAGTACTCGAAGTCCCCACTAGAGCAATTAGACAAGAAAAAGAAATAAAAAGAATTCAATTTGGAAAAGAATAAGTAAAATTTTCTGTTGACAGGTAACATGAACTTATATGAAAAAAAAAGAACTAAATAGGCCACACACAGCAAAGAACTGTAAGAAATAATAAATTCAGCAAAGTTGCAGGATACAAAATCAACACAGAAAAACCAGTGGTGTTTCTATACACTAAAAATGAACAATCTGAAAATAGAATTAAGGAAACAATTCCACTTAACAATGGCATGAAAAAGACTAAAGTACTTGGGAAAAACTTAAGCAAAGAGGTGAAAATTGTGTATATAGAAAACTATAAAACAGTGCCAAAAGACATTCAAGAAGACACAAATAAATGGGAAAAAAATTATGTTCATGGGTCGGAAGTCTCAGTATTGTTAAATATTACCCAAACTACATATTTAATGCAAACTCTATCAGAATTCCAAAAGCATTTTTTTGCAGAAATAGAAAAATCCATTCTAAAATTTATAAGAATTCTTAAGGCACCACAAATAGCCAAAACAATCTTGAAAAAAATTAGAAAGTTGGAAGATTCCTACTTCCTGATTTCAAAACTTATTACAAACTATAGTAATCAAAATAGTGAAAGACCAGCATAAAGACAGACTATAAACCAATGGACTAGAATAGAGTGTCGAGAAATGAATCTTTGTATATATGGTGAAATGATTTTCAACAAGGGTGCCAAGACCTCACAGTAGAGAAAAGGAGAATATTCTCAGTAAATGGTGTTGGAAAAACTGAATATCCTCGTGCAGAAGAATGAAATGGACCTCATCTCACCCAATATACAAAAATCAACTGAAAATGGATTACACACTTCAATGTAAGACCTGATACTGTAAAATTACTAGAATAAAACATAGGGGCAACCTTCACGACATCGGATTTGTTAATAATTTCTTGCACATGACACCAAAAGCACAGGCAACAAAAGCAAAAATAGACAAATGGAGCTACGTGAAACTTAAAAACCTCTGCAGTGAAGAAAACAATCAACAGCATAAAAAGGCAATGAATAAAATGGGAGAAAATATTTTCAAATCATATATCTGATAGAGACTCAATGTTCATATTATATAAAGAGAACCCATGCAACTCAACAGCAATAACAAAAAGCTAAATAACCTAATTAAAACTGGACAAAGAGTGTGAATAGATATTTCTCCAAAGAAGATATACGAAAGACCAACAAACATATGCAACATTGCTCAGTGTCATTAATCATTAGGGAAATGCAAATCAAAAAGATCACAATGATGTATTACCTCATATCCATTAGGATCACTAATATCAAAAAATAACAAATGTTGCAAGGATATAGGGAAATTGGAACCTTTATGCACCACTGGGGGAAGGTCAAATGGTGCAGCTGCTGTGGAAAACAGTATGGTGGTTTCTCTAAATATTAAAAATAGAACTACCGCATGAGCCAGCAAACCCACTTCTGGGCATACACTCCAAAAAATTGCAAGCAGGGTCTCAAACAGATATTTGTACACCCATGTTCATAGCAGCATTATTCGCAATAACCAAAAGGTGAAAGCAACCCAAGTGTCCATCAATGGATGATGTATAAATGAAATGTGGTATATATACAGTGAATATTATTCAGCCTTAAAAAGGAAGGAAATTCTGACACATGCTACAACATGGATGAACCTGTAGGACATTATGCAGAGTGAAATAATCCAGGCACAGAAGAACACATACTGTATGATTTCACTTATAGGAGATATCTAGAGTAGGTAAATTCATAGAAATGGAAAATAGAATGGCAGTTGCCAGGGGCTGGGTGAGGGGACTAGGGAGAAATGGGGAGTTGGTGTTAAATGAATATAAAGTTCCAGTTTTGCAAGATGAAAAGGTTCTGGAGATTAGTGGTTCTAGACATTAAGTACATTCACCACAATGTGAATGTACTTAATACTACTAAACTGTACATTTAAAATGGTTAAGGTGATTTTATGCTATATGTATTTTACCGTAATAAATTTAAAAAGAAAGAAAACCAATAAATCTATAAAGATAAGGAGCAGCCTAAAATGGAATAACACCAGAAAAAAAAAAAAAGAACCAGATCATATTTCAAATGATTAGCATAACCATCACACTAGAGGGGGAAAAGTAACTCAACTAACTTTTGAACATAATATTTGAACTGTACTTCCTTATTCTAAATATAAAAAGAACTATAATCAAATATTGAAGTCTAATTATTATAGTAGACTTCTTTCTTAAAACAAACGTGTGTAAGCAACTATTAAATGGCTTTCTGTATGTTCTAAAATTGGGGAAATGAATAAATATGTATAGAGAAGGAGAGCATTGCCAGAGCACAGAGTTACAAATATGGAAAGGCAGCAGGGAAAAATGTACTCAGGGTGCTGGAATTGGCATTACAGGGTGAATGCATGGGCTGCAGTAGAGAGGGATAGCTATAGGTAGAATGTGTCTGGGGTATCAACAAATACATCGCTGTGTGCATGTGAATATACTTATGTAAGTTGCCTACTGTTGCATAACACATCGCCCCAAAATTTAGTGGCTTGAAACAACAAACATTTATTATCTTACACGTTTTCTGAGGGTCGGGAATCTGGAAGTGACTTGGCTTGAGTGGTTTCAGCTAACGGTGTCTTGTGAGGTTTCAACTGAGATGTCAAAGATGCAGTCTTCAGCCAGGTGCAATGGCTCATGCCTGTAATTCTAGCACTCTGGGAGGCTGAGGTGGGAGGATTGCTTGAGTTCAGGAGTTCCAGACCAGCCTGAGCAAAAATGAGACCCTGTGTCTACTAAAAATAGACAAAAAAAATTAGCCAGTCAACTAAAATTTAAATAAAAAGAAATTTAAATCTTTAATTTGAAAAAATTCAAAGCTGCAGTCCTCTAAAGGCTCTATTGGGAAAGAGGACCAGCTTCCAAGCTGTTGGCACTTCCAAATTTATGAATTCCAGAGCCTCTGTGTATGCCTGAGCTTCCTGTGAAGGCAGGCTACAGTGGGGGGAGCTCAAGCTTGAGGACTCTCACACAACCCACAGAGGCCCGGACTTGCCTCGAATAAGTCCTTTTCCAAGACCGTGGACCTTGAATAAGTCTTTTTCCACTCATGAGGCCTGGACTTCTTCAATATTACATTGGAGGTTGTTTCCAAAATCTGAAAGAGCCCTCTGAATTCAAGGTCCTCTGGTTGGAGAGGACGTAGTAAGGTCACTAGAGAAGGGATTGGCATCCCAGGTTCAGCTGGTGCCGCTGCCATGTATGTACTGTGAGACTTTGTGCAGCTGAGCAAATGATCTAAGCCTGTTTCCTTATCTGTGAAATGGGGATGATCCTGGTGCTTACCTCACAGAGTTGCTGTAAAGACCAAGTGAAGGTGTGTGCAGAATGGCAGAGTACCACATGCTCACTTGGTGGTAACTATATTCCACCTCTGTCCCTGCCATCACACACCACTCACTCACCCCATTCAGGGTGACAAATAAAGAAGCCACTTTGAGACACAGGAGAAAAAATTTGCATTTATTGAGTTGTTTGTTCAGGCAGTGAGCTGGACACTTTGCAAATATCCATCTTGTTTTTCCTCACAGGGGGACAGTAAAATGGGAATTATTACATGGAATTCCCATGTGAAGAAACTGAGGCACAGAAGGCTTAAGAGTTGGGCCCCTGTGACAGACTAGGGTTCCAGTCTGTGCCTGTGTAGCCATGGTGCCTGAAACCTTCTCTCTTCTCCCCAGTTCTTCCAGGTACCTTCAAAGGCCCCTGGCATGCTTCAGGCAGGCAGCTCTCCCACTGGATTGTGGAGGGGCAAAGAACCTGCAAATCCTTTTCCTTATCTGCGAGTTCCAGGGACCAAACAGGATGCCACCAGGATGCTCAGTACCAGCAGGACCGTCCCCTCTCCCCACTCATTGCCTCAGTGTCCACTGAGTGCCTGGTGCCCACCACAGGGGATGGGTGGGGCAGTGAGGGCAATAGTGGAGTACACTCTACCACCCAGCCTTGCCTCTTGGCAATGGTCCACATGGGGATGTCACTGGCCCCAGGCAGCATCGGGAGAGACTCTTCCTGCAAAATCTGTGACCTCAGGCCAGCACCCCAATGTTCAAAGCTTCTTCCACCAGTGACATGGTGTGGCATTTTTCTCTTGTTTATGGGTTGCTACAAGGCCAGGATTAGCTTGCCTATGGATCACTGTGTGGGGCAGCTGGACACTTGAGACGAAGAACTCCATGAAGGGTAACACAGGGCTGTTCCTGGAAGAGATGGGCCCACCACATTCTTCCAGAAGTTTCTGCTTGGTAAACCCCACCAACTAGCTGCGTTCACAATCTTTCCTGCTTCCTAGATCAGGATCTTATGGCACAGATGAACACTTATGCAGAATCAATGGCTATTCTAACAACCACCCACTGCAGACACTTTCCAAGCTCAGCCTGGAGGCTTTTGCCACAGTCAGAGAGGACTGGTATTGCTACAAAGAGTCCCAGGGGACAGAGCAGAAGTGGTAGCTGGAAATAACAACGGAAAAGCTTGTATACAACAGGTCAAGTCCAGATAAGAGCATTCCAAGCCAAGAGCACAGCATGTGCAATGACAAGGAAGCAGGAGTGGGAACACACATGAATGGCTCCTGCAAGACGCAGGGACAGGAATACAGGGAGTATGTGACACCAGACACTGAATCTGAGGGCTCATGAATGGTCATGAGAGGAGCTTGGAGCCAGTCCTGGGGGGGATGTGGATAAATCACTCAAAAAATACTGCCGGCTGGAGAAGGAGCCAAGTGGGGTAGGGGACAAGGCCAGGTCCTGCCAGGAAGAGAATCCCCAGCTCTGCTCTGACCTTGCTGTATAGCCTGGCAAGCCCTGGCCCTGGAGGGCCTAGGGTGTTCCATGTGAGCAGGGGCCGGCTGGAGAGAGGTGTGGCCCAGCACATAATGCACACAGAGAGAAGAAGGGTGGCCCGGGGCCATGGCAGAGGGGCGCAGGTGGCAAGGCTGGGACCCTCGGTGCTGAGGGGTGACTAGTTGATGGCCCTGAAGGTGAAGAGGGGGAGAGCGGTGGGCCTCAACATGAAGCGGTACACCATCCTTACATCCTCTTGGTTTAGTGTCTCCACCAGGAAGGTTTTCAGCACCTAGAACAGAAGCTGAGTTTTCATCTGGTCTAGTCAGATGCCCATGGACCTGGTGCATCTGCCACCCCCTCTCCCAGGTGAGGCACATGCTGCAGGGGAAGATCAGCCTGTGGTCCCAACCAGTGCCAGCCAGAAGCCCAGACCTACCTGCCCCACTCAGCCCAACCCAGGCCTGCCTTAGCCGGCAAGGCCCCGCCCCAGCCCTCAAGGCCCCGCCCTCCGTCCCTCACCTCCCAGGGCCCACTCCACTCTGCTCTGCCTGCACCACACCCGGCCTCCCCCCATCCCCTTAGGCCGCTACAATCAGGCCAAGCCTAGGGCCCGACCAGGCCCCTCCCCAGCCTGCAAGGCCCCGCCCCTCCACAATATGAGACCCCCTTCAGGGTCCCCCTCAACCCAGATGCGCCCCACCGCACTCCCATCAGGCCCTGCACTGCCCAGGCCTGCTCAACCCAGGACACAACCAACACAGGCCCCGCCCCACTCTGCTCCCGCCTCGCCCCACCAGGCCGCTTACGTGGTGCAGCAGGAGCAGCATCTCCACCTCTGCCAGGCGCCGCCCCAGGCACTGGCGCACGCCAAAGCCAAAGGCCACGTGGCGGAAGTTTGTGCTGGAACCCTTGACCTCTAGCCAGCGCTGGGGCTCATAGCGCTCTGGCCTCGGGAAGGAGGCGGAGTGGCGACCCAGCGAATGGAGGAACACCTGGACCAGTGTCTACCGACAGGACAGTGGGGAGGGAGAGGTCAGCTGCACTGTCAGGGAACGTGGCTGGGGGGCTCTATTGGAGGGGCGGTGAGGGCGCACTCACCCCAGCTGGGATGTGGTAGTTCTGCAGCACCATGTCTGAGGACAGGAGTCGCTCCAGGATGAGGCCCACGGGGTAGAGCCTGGAGTGGGGTCATCAGTCGTGGTCTCAGTGTTGCCAGGGTCCCTCTTATGCCCCCTGCAGCCTTCCTACCAAGACCCCCAGAGGTCCTGGACCCATGGGAAGCCCAGACCATGAGGTCTTCCTTGTACCTGCTGAGCTCAGCCAAACCTGCCCCCAACCAGAGCAGCCCCATGCTAAGGAGGATGTGCCCAAAGTTGGCCCCCAGGATAGTAGTGAAAGAGACTCCAGAGGAAGGGAGGGCCCCACCTTTCCAGGGAGGAAAGGATGTGTAGGGGGAATGGGTCTGAGGCAAGCTGCTTATCAGCCCCATTTTCTGGCTGCCACCCCCAGTGGGCACTGCTCTCCAGCATAGGGCCGGGCAGCTGGGCAGGGGCGGGGCAGCTGGGGAGGGGTCAGCGGCACCTACCTCAGGGTCTCCTTGAGGGCGGCCCGCAGCAGGGGCAGCTCCACCAATGCCCTCTGGGGATTGTCAGTGATGCTGGCCTGGGCTGCCAGGCTCTCCTGGCGTAGTGCCTGCTGCACTTCAGGGTTGCGAGCCAGCTCGAAGAATGTCATCAGCAAGGGGAAGGAGGTCTGCAGGAGCCACAGGTATGAGGCTCAGACCTTGGCACCGGCAGGACCTCCTCCCTCAGGGCACCTCTTCCAGGAGCGTCAGGGGTGTGATCCTAATGCCCACCTGGACTCCTTTCCCTGAGTCCCCCAGAGAAAGGCGACCCCATCCCAACCAAGGCCCACATGCAAATTTTGTTATCACTTCCCAGGCTGAGGCATGAGCTGAGGCATGGGCTGAGGGTGAACTGAGGAATGTGGAAGACAGAGCCTATGGATCGGGCCCATGGCTGACAGGTGGCACCGGAGGCCACTGGCTGGGAGGTAGCATGGGCCTGATGCTCTCTGGGATGGGGCTGGTTGCTGCCCTGACCGTGTCTGTGCTCCCCGCAATGAGGTCCATGGCATTGGCTTTGATGGCATCCGCTGACAAGTCTCCATGCAACAGCAGCTCTGCAAGGACACTGCGATAGTGTTGAGAAGGGCAGCCACCTACCAGCTCTGAATAGGTTTTCTGGATGCATTTGTCACCTGCACGACAAAAAGGAGACAGCTTCTAGCCGTGGATCGGAGAAGCCATTCCTTTGTCCTCCTCCTACACACACTGACCCCAACACCCACAAGTTTTCCTCCCCCCTACCCCGTGACCTCCAGATCAGTCCAGCCCAGCCCCTGCCTCACCCCCAACTTTCTTTGACAAGACATGGAGGAAGCCATAGCTCTTTTATGTGGTCTCTGCTCTTCCCTGGGCTGTGGAGAATAGACAACTGGGCCACCACAGTGTCCCTGCGATGTAGCACTGTCAAGTCCCTGGCGCTCACCATACTGGTAGATGTAGTCCCAGGCCTCAAAGTGCTCTTCCCACGTCTTGGTGCTGGTCCAGCGGGACAGGCTCCTGGGCATGTACATGAGCTGTACGGTGGATTTGAACATGGCCTCCAGGGCATGGATGAACTTCAGGCTGGCATGGCTGGGGTTATTGCCAAGGAGGCCCAGCCGCTCTCCAAAAAGTGCTGAGTTGCTGGCTGCAGGGAGGATGGCACTGCTGAGCCAAAGGCAGCCCCCACAACTCTCCACTGCCTCCCACCAGCACCCCCTGCCCCATTCCTGGTCTACTGCAAAGTCACTGAGATGGGGTCTTCCACCTGACCCCACACCTTCTATGGTGTAGTAGAAGATGCTGGGCTGGATGTCCAGGGTCAGCCTGCCCTGGGCATTCTGTAGCACCTTCTCCTTCAGGGCCTGGGAGAAATCCCTTGCCACCATATCCACCATGGGAATATACTTCTGGACAGCCTTTGGCGACAGCACATATGGGTTCACCTGCAATCGGTTGAAGCGCCATTCAGGCCCGTTCCTGCAGAGCAGAGAGCAGAGTTGCAGAGTCACCCCCAGCAAACATCCGGCCCCAACCCTGTGTCCCACCTTTCTTGTCCCCAAAGGGAATGGGCATCACAGGCCATGACTAGCGCCCTTGAGGCAGGCTACCTGCATTGCTATTCTGCCTGCAGTATTTCCTCTTGGAGCAGCCTGCGGGTGCTGGCAAGCAGGGCGCTCAAGTCTAAACTGGGGATGAGACAGTGGCTTCTGCCTGAACGTGCTGCAGGTGTTCATGGAGTTCATTCCAGTGAATTTCCATGCCTGGTCCTGGCACAAAGGTCACCCACGTGCCCTCCCTTGATGGGGAGGTCTTTTCCCCAGGGGAGGAGGTTGTCCCTCTTGTCATGCGTTGTCCCTGTCACAAACACCATGCCCCAAAGGGGACCAGCTTCCCACCCTTCCCTTTCCTGAGCGTGCTGCCTCTGTGCCCGTAGCATCTGCCTGTTTCTGTGAAATGTCTCTGTCTTACGTAGGGCAGAAATCAAACTGTATCTCTCAGAATACCCTCAAGACAGAGCCAGAGCACAAGGGGGCTGATGGATGTCCTCCAGGGAATGTTGGGCAGGAAGTTGCCCTCAGCCACATTCATGGAAAAGTACCTGGATTTTTGCATGTTTATCTGCTTGTAGGGATTGATTTTGACACTGGTATTTGCAATATGTGTGTGCATATTCACGCATACATGCATGCATGCAGACAATAGATGTAGTGCATACACATAAAAATGCACAAATCAGAAACTCAGAAACACACATAACATGCTCACAAATGTGAACACAAAAACACACAAGCCCATACAATATATATGGCTGCAAATGTACGTGCAAACACATGTGTACACAAGCAGCATGCATATACACATGCACAATTACAGACATGCACACATGCACCCACATACAAACCCATGGACATGCACACGTGCACACACACACCCACAAGCGCGCCCCTTCATTCAGATATGCACACGTACCCTTCCCAGCCTTCTCCTGGAATGGTCATTCCTGGGTCCTGACTCCCTCCCAGATTACCCCAGTTAAGGCCCCCACACAGAGGTGCCTATTTGCCTAAGCTCCACTATTCCCAAAGAATCACCTTCCCCACAGGGAGTGTGGTGGCTGTCAACTGTCTGTCATCTCTCTTTCAGAACCTCCTCCTTTCTTCAGGGCACACTGTAGGCAGCTGACTACCGCCAAGCAGGGACTTCTCTCTGCCTACCCAACCAGGAGTGCTGCGCAGTCAACGGGTCATGAGACACCCTCCAGGGCAGTGGCCCCACCCAGTGCTTCACTCCCGAGCAAGCTTCCTAACGCAAGAGCTCACCGTTCTCCCTCCTCTCATGTGCAAAGTGCCCTGTGCATGTCTCTGCCACTGCCCTGCTTCCCCAGCCACTGGACACACGGGACCCCATGGTCCACTCCTCAGCACTTGGCAGTCACCCTGAGGCCCCAGGCAGGGGTGATTTGGGGCCTCTCTGTCTTGCCTCCTCTCTGTGTCCAGACTGCCCATCCCCCCATCCCAGCTCGCCCCTCACAGCAAGAACACGCCACATTTGTGCCCCCGGTGTTGTCTGTAGGTCAGCCAGGGCTCCACGAGCATCCGGCGTGGGTGCAGACTCTCCACCTCCTGCAGTCTCTCCGCGTCCTCCGGCAGCATCACAGACACCGTTCGTGTTCCTCCTGTGTCATACCTGTGGGACAAAGCACTAAGTCCTGCTGGCCACAGCCATGTCCTCCCCTGGGCCCCGCTCTGCAAAACCAGTCCAGACTGTCCCTTATCTGACCTCTCCCTTCTCCTGGCCCAGTGGTTTCATGGCAGGAAGTCCCTTCTGCCGTCTACCTGCAACCTCGACAACTTCAGTGCTTCTGTGTTCTGGGCTCTTGGCATGAGCCGTGGTTTGCTCCCCCCTCGTGAAGAACAATGTTGTTCATTTGCAAAGACACTGACCAGCGCCCACTGGGCTCCCTCCCTGTCTTCCAAAGGATACAGAGCACCGGGGCCCGGCTGGGCAATGGCAGTGCTGTGTGCCAGGTAAGGGCCTTGGCAGCCCGCAGCCGCAGAGGACTCTGGGTGTTCTCAGTGAGGGGTAGGAAGGGCTTCACCTGAAAATGGGCCCCAGCTCCTGGAAGTTCTGATGCATCTCCAGGTGAAGGTTCTCATAGCCCTGCTCCTTCCAGATCTGCAGCATCCTCAACCAGCTGTTGTGGCGACTCTGGGGTATGGCTTCGAAGGGCAGCACCGCCTTGGGCGCCAGAGAGGCTCTGGTGGCCAGTGCCCGTGGCCCTCGCAGAGACAGCCAGGGCCCTGCCATCCACACGCCTGCCTTTGCCCTGAATGCCATTCCGATGCTCCTCTACCCTGTGCCCGAATCCTTTTATCTCTCCTGGAGACCTGCACTGGCAGATGGATCACGTCATGGAAACTGTCCCTGGATCTGCCTGAGAAACCCAGGGCATAGGTCAGGGCCAGAGTGAGGTCTAGATTGGGGGTGCACAGGGGTGGATCTGGCGAAGAGGCCGCTCCCTCCTCCTCCACTGCTGGGAAACAGGGGATGGGGCTCTTATCTTATCAAAGATCCTTGGATTATTCATCTCCTTGCAAGATCCCAGGCAGGAGCAAGGGAAGAGGAGTTTGCGTTCATTGAATTAACCAACTAGTGGAGCCGTGTGCTCTTCTCCAGGCCTTATGTCGGGTGTGTGCAGTGGAGGCATGAAGCAGGCACCATCACCATTAGGGGCTCAGCCCTGGGGCAATTCAGTGAGTACAGGGGTACAATGTGGGAGGTTCACGGCGTGTTCCTGCCTGATCTTGGCTGGCCTTGAGGTTCCCTGCGTGTCTGAGACCCAGTCCTGGATGGCCTTGCTGGTCCAGCTAAGCAGCAGGCCACAGCCAGGAGACATTGGCCTGGAGGGGCTGGGGGTGCTGGGAGGCAGCTCGGGCTGAAAGGCGAGAGTGCTCTTGCCCTGGTCTATCCTTGCCTGTGTAGGGTCTGTGCCGACTGCTCACATCCCCTTTTCATCCTATAGCACATGGCCCAATGCTCAGATTCATAGCTCAGAGCAATGAGAGGCCATAGAGTCTTAGTTGGGGGCGCTGTCAGGAGCCCCACTATCCTGTCAACTCTCTCTGGCAACACATGGCTAGGATTGTCCCTTGGAGGGTGGGTCTGTGTTTTGGTTCTTGTGTTGTTTCTGCAAAGCCTATAGCAGTCCTGAGGTCCCCCAAGGGGTCGCAAGGAACCTGGAACCCTCGCTCCTCATCTCTCTTCAGCTGCACCCTCCAAGTCTGGGCCCCAGACCCCAGCCTGGGGTTGGGAAGGCACAGCTCCAAAATGCTGCAACCCCTGCTGTCTCTCCCCATCTGCCAGGGCACTGTGGCCTTTCCTTGTTGCAAAGACCAGGAAGAGCTCAGTTTTTCTCTGCCAGGGTCTGCCTCAGCTCTTCTTGCCACTAACTGCCACCCTCTGAAGTCAGAGCTTAAAGGAGACACCTGTGGGGCAACTGAAGACTGAGGCGCCCTTGACCTGGACCCCAGACATGGGAACATGGATGGCCCTGCCCTATCTGGCCCCTGCCTCAGCTGTCCCTTGGGGGAATAGGCTGGACTCACCTGGCACTGCCTTTCAGCCACACCTTGGAAAGACACATACTCCACATCTACCTGTGGCAGGCAACTGCCAGGGGAGGACAACAGGGCTCCTGATGCCCTGGGGATGGGCCCTGGGAATGCTAATGCAGGCAGAGCCCTGCACAGACATGCTCAGCCAGAGGTAAATGGTGACACACAGCAGGTGCGTGGTCGTGGTCTGGGCAGGGGGGAGCCACAAACTACATGGGAAGGCAGAGTCCCCTGGCACGGCTACTCACAAGCATTGCAGTGTGTGTGTGCAAATCCAATCATCTCGCAGGTCCAACAGCCAACAAGACCAAGCTAGGGAAATGCAAGTGTTCGTTGTGACACAATAAGAGAAAGTGCAGATGGCCGTCTGGAGAGGTCCAGTCCCCTGGGAAGATGCCACCTTACCGCAGCCACAGCTTGAAAGCATCAGGGAGGAGGTATTGATCATTTTGTCATTGGCCGACCCATCGCAGATTCTTCATAGGGCAAGTAGAGTGGTTTGAGCCCCCTGGTGTGCAGCTGATCGGCTTCATTTCAAGAGAATGGGCTGACAAGGCCACATCAAAAACTTACATTTTGCCTTTTGTTTATGAGTAGAGCCAGTGTTGTGGGGAAATCGGATGACCTAAGTTTTGGCTGTGGTCGTAGGAGGTTGGCCTTGAGGTGTATTTTTACTGTGCCTCCACATTTCCTGTATTCTGTCAGCCCCCACATTGATTCGTTACCGCTGGAGGGGAAGGGCCCTGCGGGTGGCTTCGGGCTGAGCTGCGTGGAGAAGGAGCTGGGGAGGGGAATTTCAGCTGGACCTGCAGGGGAAGGAGGAGGCTGCTCCTTGTGCAGTTGGAAAGAAAGGGGCTTCCACTCTGAGGGGACTCGGCAGTCCTTGGCGGGAGTGGGCGGCAAGGTGACAGAGGGCTGCACTGGGAGGAATGGTGCAGGCCTGCGGTAGGGTGTTGTGAGGGTTTTAGCAGGGGAGGGCCACCATTTAATAATTTTAAAATCAAGTCCCTCTCCCACTCGTCCTTGGGGGAAGCCTTCAGCAGTCAGTGGTGCGTCAGCTGTGTCTGGGCACTGAGCATCGCTGACACAGAGGAGCAGAATGGTGATGTGGCCTTTCTGTGTGCCTTCATCAGTGCCAGATGGTATAAGAGCTGTGCCTCGGTGGGTGGATGTAAGTGGGCAGCCTGTCCTTGGTGATGCAGTCATCACCACCATGCTAGACAGTGCTGCACTATTCATGGCTGCCTGTGCCATCCTCCCTGCAGCTTCTGCAGGCATCAAGACTCTCTGAGCTGTTCCTGAGGGCAGCCTGCGAGCAGGCTGATTGAATGGAGCCTGTTTTGCTTCTATAGTTTTACAGTTGTCTTCACTACTGGGTCATGAACCTAGCCAGGTCACCTCTGAAGTTGGCATGGGGCCAACATTCAGTCAGTGTTTCTTGGAGGAAAAAATGCGTGATTACAACCTGACCATGAACAGCCCTTGTGCCCAGATGCCACCTGCTTCCAGCACACTGTACCCCTCCCCCCAGGATTCTCGGGTGCCATGGAGACTGTGGCAGTCTGCGTAGGAACTAAGGGTATCTTCCCACCTCTGCGCCTTTGCTGACCCTATCTGGCCACCAGGATCCTCTCCTACCCTTATGACTCTGAGCCTCAGTCACTGGGTTCTATTCACTCTGTTGCCCTCCACTTTGAAAGTGCTCAGCTCTCTACCAGGCCCAGGCAGTGAGTAACTCTCCCCTCCATTAGACTACCTTGGGTTACCCTTTGCCACAGTGTTTCTCAAGCTGTTTGTCAAAATGCACACAAGCACGTTGCAACTCAGAAAAAAATGCCTCGATGGGCCAGGGTGAGATCCCAGAAACATAAAGTTGTATCAATCCCCCAAAAGTGATTCTGATGCAGGCAGCTTTCCAATCGCACTTTTCTCTCTCCTTCTGTCTGGACACTGCAGGGGGCAGCCGGAAGCCTGTGCAGTTTCAGGGATTGTGGAAAGTGAACACTTCCATGTCGGCTGGGGATGAGTGGAGCAATGCCTGGAAAACAAAAACTATGGGTGGCAGGCAGGGGGGCAGGGGAGGGGGGCGTGGAAGAAGGGCAGTGTACACACAGGTACAGCTCAGGGAGACAATGACATGGAGTGTGCCCACGGGAAGTACACTTTCTTCAGCAGACAATACTTAGCTGAGTCAAAGGTGGAAGTTGGGGCTGCAAGATGGAGGAGCTGTCAGGCAAGTGGATGAGGAGGACAGACACCGAAGGAGAACAAAGTGCACACGAATACCCCTCCTGTTCATTCACACCCTGAGGATGGAAGTCTCTCACCTGCACTTTGGATTTTCTCAGCCCCTCTTCCCCTGCTGTATTTTCTGAGCCTGCTCAGGCCCCACCTTCCTCCCCTGGCGTCCCCTCAAAACCCTCAATAAATACTAGGAAATGGAATCCAGCAATGTATGAAAAGGATTATAAGCATGGACAAGTGCATTTATCCCAGAAATAAAACATTGGTATAACATCCCCAAATCAATTATTGTAATGTATTGCATCTATCGAATGAAAAATAAAAATCACATTCTCATCTCAATAAATGCAGAAAGTGCATTTGAAGAAAGCTAACACCATTTTCATGATGAAAATAGTGAACCAACTACAAGTAGAGGGAAACTTCTTCAACCTGATAAAGGACATCTATGAAAACTCCACAGTTAACATCATGCTTAATGGTCAAAGGCTGGCTACTTTCCTCCTCAGTTAGATCAGGAGCAAGATGTCTGCTCTAGCCACTGCTAATCAACATTTTATTGGAGGTTCCGGCCAGAACAAGTAGGCAATAAAAATAAATAGCAGTCCTCCTGACGGGAAAAGAAGTAAAACTGTCTCTATTCACAGACCACATGGTTTTGTATACAGACTATCCTAAGAAATCCACTAAAAAAGTATGATATCTACAAAGTAGTTCTGCAGGATTTCAGGTAATGAGATCAATATACAAAAATCATTTGTATTTTTTTGCCCAGAGCCTCGTAGCACTCCTGGACGGCATGCCTGAGTCTGTGTTAAAGAGTTTTAAACGTAACCTTTTAAAAATATAAATAGAAGTACGCTGTAAAATAACAATAAAAAGTATGGTGTAGTAAATTTGTCAACCAATAATATGATCGTTCCTATCAAGATTATATACTGTATGTAATTGTATGTGCTATACTGTTACATGACTGGCAGCCCAGTAGGTTTGTTTACACCAGCATCACCACACACACATGAGTACCGCCTCGTGCTATGACGTTGCAAAGGCTACGATGTCACTAGGTGAGAGGAATTTTTCAGCTCCATTATAATCTTATGGGTGCCACCGTTGTATATGCGGTTCATCATTGACCCAAACCTCATTTGCGAGACCTGACTGTATTTGAACTGGTTTTTCTTCTTTAGACATTGTGGGCTACGTATTCATCATGGAAGTATACCAAAAACATCTTTGTATGTTACCATATAGAGATTATCTTTATCAAAAGGCAAAATGGTTACGGGGATTATCTACATGTTGGCTGAAAGAGAAAGAGAGGTCCCCACTGTGCTCAGACCATAAGTCCCCAAGGCCGCCTGAGACTCTGACTGTCCTTTTCCATTCTTAAGTCAAGGAATGATGGAAGCAGGGGGGTGCTTGGCGATGAGGTGACATGTGGATCATCAGGGCCTGACCTTAGTGACTTTTGCAGAGCGCCCTTGTGTGGGTCAGACTATCTGTAGGCCGGGCAGTTGTCTCTCGGGATGGCACCCGGCTTCATACCAGCAAC